GTAGAGATGGGGTTTCACCACTTTGCCCAGGCTGATTTTGAACTCCTGGCCTCAAGCAATCTGCCTCCACTTCCCAAAATGCTGGGATTATAGGTGTGAACCATCATGCCTGGACTGAATAGCTTACGTTCTTTATAGCACAGTAGATGAGAACATGAGCTCTGCAGTACGGTTGCCAGAGTTTGAATTACAGCTCTAATCTTTATAAACTGTATAACAGTAGACAAACTATTACCACTGTGCCTCAGTTTTCACATTTTTTAACAGGACCTTATAAATATTGTCAGATAAGAGATGTAAAAGACTTAGTGTAGTATCTGAGTAATAGCAAATACTCAGAAAATGATAATTGTTATCATAAAGAGAGGGAAGGAAACACCTACAGGATATCTTATGTTTTTTTTTCTCATTTCTAGTCCTACTATTGTAATTTCTTAATTTGTGTACACATATAATATTAGTAACTAAATCATTATTCATATAATATGTACATTTGAAATATGGTAGTCATATATTTTTTTCAAGTAACAGACAACTTTGAAATTTATCCGCAAATAATACTATTTAGACACATCTTCTTTAATTTCTACTTTTTAAAAACTTAAAAAATAAAATGTTGAATTAATTAGAAGTTACCAGGATATACTCAGAAATAGTGTTGTAACCCGAACTAAACACATTTTATTGTTTTTTAAATTCCCATGGCTAACTTAAAATCACTAGGCAAGTAGATTTGGGCCTGATATTTACCTAGGAATTGCTTATCAGTTAAGAAATAAATTATTGATTTGCTAAAGGCTTCATTTCATACTTTTATACTTTACCATCAACTGTTTTATTTTTATTCCTTTGAAAATATACTCTAGACTGTTATTGGTGATTTCTTTATTAATGTGGTATTTTCCACTAGACCTTTCTGTCATAATACAAGTATTTTTTATCTTCTCTCTCCAATATGGTAGCCACTAGCCACATGTGGCTGTTGAGCACTTGAGATATAGCTAGTGCAACCAAGGACCTGAATTTTTATTTTTATATAATTTTAATTTTAAATAGCCACATATGGCTGGTGGCTACCATATTGGATAGTGCAAGTTTAGAGTAGCAGTGAGTTTTTTAATATAAAATGAATGTTAAGTGAATGACTTCTTCAAAAAATTATCTTTAGTATGGATTCTTAAGAATTTTATTATCTCATTGTGTAAGAGAACTGTAGTGAAATTTTTCATAATTAAAAATAATTTGTAGTTAATGTGTCATGCAGATTGGGGGTAAGCTAATTAGGTCTCTGATTCTTTACGTATAAAATGGGGAGAATTGTGCCTATTTCATAAAGTTGTTGGAAGATTTAAATTGTATAATAAAATGAAAAGTTCATTGCATATGGTCTGGCATTATGTATTAAACGCTCCATGAATCTTATTTTCTGTTATTAGTTTTATTACTATTTATACTAATAAATAATGGTTGCCTTTCCCTTGCTCATTTTCCTTTTTACTTAAAATGTTTTCTTTCCTTTTTAGCAACTGATTTGGTGCTGAGAAAGGTTATCAATTTTTCTGACTGTACAGTTTGTCTTGATAAACGGAATGCCAGTGGTAAAATAGAATTTTACCAGGATCCTTTATTGTATAAATGTTCCTTCAGAACTCGTCTTCATTTTACATATGATAACCTAAATTCCAAGATGCCATCTGTTATTAAAGTAGGTATCTCTTTTTTTTTGTAGTTAAGTTGCATGTCTTTATTTTGTTTATTGACTCTTGTGGATGATAATCATTATTAACAAATGAGGAAATTAACCTTATAAATATGTGTGCCATTTGTTTTTATAAAAATTTTATTTCTGTTTATGATTTTTATGTTGTATTTATACATTTCTGTATGATATATTCTAGTAGAGTTTAGAGACAACTTTTCTCTGTAATTTTATTTTTTTAGTTTGTCCAGCTGTTTATTAGTGTTTCTCTCTTCAAGTAGATAGAGGAAATAATATTAAAGGGTATATTTATACCCACAATGGACTGCATATCAGTATTCTGTATTTCAGTTCTTATAATCTGTTCAGCATGATCTGCTATCTATACTTTTTCTTCTCTTTACTAGGTGACTTTGTAAAGCTTGATATACTAACCCAATATTTTAGTTCATTGGTTCAAGAAGTTTTAGCTTTTGATTTATGATTTTTAAAATGTAATTAAAATCTTAGGGAGTTATTCAGGACATGTCTTTTTATTTTTTATTTCCATTTTTATTTAAGATTAAGGGATTTGTTATAAGGGTATATTGTACGATGCTTAGGTTTGGGCTCCCATTGATACCATCACCCAGATAGTGAACATAGTACCCAATAGGAAGTTTTTCAGCGCTTATTCTCTCTCCCTCCTTCCTTCCTTTTAGAGTCCACACTGTCTGTTGTTCCCATCTTTATGTCCATGTATACCAAAGATTTAGCTTCCATTTCTAAGTGAGCACAGGACATGTCTTTTGATACCTGTGAAAATTTTCTCTCCAATGTAATGTATGTTTTCGATGTATGTGGTTAGTATCTAAGCATAAATATTGTTGTCTTATTTAAGTTTTCTGAATATTGTTTGTCTGCCTATCACTGTATCTTGGAAAAAGAATTCGATGACTTCTGATCCGTTAACTAGGTTTTAATGTGGAATAAATGTTTATTGTTGAATTACTTGCCACTGACTGTCAAAGTTCTGTGATGGAAGGGCTGGACTTAGGTGTCTGAACACTGGTATTGACTACTGTTTCTGTTTGGGTATGGCTGTATAAAAACTAGGTTTGTTTTTGTTACATTATATTTTATTTAAAATATAATTTTTTCTATTTTATGTAGCCTTACTGTACTTAATATGTAAAATCTACATTTTTTTTCTTGGTAGTGCTCAGTCACCTGTGTTTTACTTTTTTCCACACAGTGTATAATGCATATTGGTTTGTTTATATTCTGTTACTTTTTCCTTCTATATTTGAATTAGCTTCTTTGGCAAAGATAAACATGGAAAAGAATTAACTTAATAATATTGATGGCTCTATGTCAGGGAAATGGGCTTACTTTCTTTAGCCTTGGGTTTTCTAGTAAAGTTGGGGAATGTGAAGGTAAATTCAAGATACATTGAAAGCAAGTAATGGATATATGTACGTTTACTATATAAAATACTCTTTTTGATCATTAGTGCATATGTAATAGTCTGTTCTGGGATGTGGTTATATTAGAGGAAGATAAAAATAGATGAGAAAAAACTTAGTGTTGGCATATAAGTAAGTTTGTGTTCTCACAACTGATTAGCCATGACATTTCACTGAAAAAGTCCCTTAACATAAATAAACGTGTATAATAGTTGCCAAATATGTGATATCAATGTTTTATGCTCAACTGAAATCAATTTTTGAGGTTTTATTTCTTTCTTCTTTTCTTTTCTCTCTCTTTTTAATTCCCTCCTTTCTCCCTCCCTTCTCCTCCCTTTCTCTCCCCACCCCTCTGCTCTCTCTCCTTTTTCCTCTTTCCTTTTTTCTTTACCTTCGAGGCTCCCTGTCACCCAGGCTGGAGTGCAGTGGCACAATCATACTTCACTGTAACCTTGAACTCCTGGGCTCACGCGATCCTTCTGCCTCAGGCTCTCAAGTAGCTAGAACTATAGGTGCATGTCTCTATCCCTGGCTCATTTTAAATTGTTTTTTGTAGAGACGGAGTCTCACTCTGCAGCTCAGGCTGGTCTTGAACCTCCTAGCTTCAAGTAATTCTCCTGTCTACGCCTCCCAAAGTGCTGGGAATCCTGGCATGAACCACCATGCCTGCCTGAGTTTTTTGTTAATACTATTGTAATGTTGAGATTTGCCATTCTGGGTTAGACCCATCATCCTTCCAACTCCTAATCCTAGGGAATATGTATTAAATAGATATGGTCGACCTCATTAATTACGTCACTAACAGAGGTTTCTCAAAATGTTGCGGATACTCTATTTCTTTTCTTTCTTTTCTTTTTTTTTTTTTTGAGACAAAGTCTTGTTCTTGTTGCCCAGGCTGGAGTGCAATGGCATGATCTCAGCTCACTGCAACCTCTGCCTCCTGGGTTCAAACAATTCTCCTGCCTCAGTCTCCCGAGTAGCAGGGATTACAGGTGCCGTCCACCAGGCCTGGCTAATTTTTGTATTTTTAGTAGAGACGGGGTTTTGCCCTGTTGATCAGGCTGGTCTTGAGCTCCTGACCTCATGCGTGATCCCCCTGGCTCGGCCTCCCAAAGTGCTGGGATTACAGGCATGAATCACCGTGCCTGGCCCCTCTGTTTCTTTTCAAATCTTTCATATATGTTTATTTTGAATGCATTTATATTTTGGGTTGGCTTTTTATAATTTTCCATTTTTTTGTGTGAAATAAATATGTTCTGGTGATTTGACGTTTATGAGATACAGATCCTATGGGTGCGTAATTTATTTAACGTTTCTCCTGTTTTTAGAAATTTACTTTGCAGTTTCTCAGAGCAGTGAAATTCTGTGCATAGATCTTTGACCACATTTCCTGAGTAATTCCTTAGGAAAGATTTGTATAATTGCAAATATCTGTTTTTTAAGACCTGTGATCTGTATTGCCAAATTGTTTCCAGAAAGATTTAGCCAGGTTATACTCCCATGAACATTAGGGGGAGTGCCTACATCATACTCTTGTTATCCTTAAATATGATCATATTTTAAAAATTGCCAACTTGTTGAACAACAAATGATATGTAATTTAATTGCTGTTTATTACTGAAGTTAGATTTTTGAAAACACATTCACTGGTCATTTGTTCTTTGTATTCTCAGTTCAGGTTCTTTATCCATTTTCCTATTGACTATTAATCTTACTCGTTTTAAGGAGTTTTTAGAAAGACACTTAAGACAGATTCTTTGTTGTTGGTTTTGCTGACTGCTTATCTCCAGTGCTATTGGTGCAATACAAGATTTAAAAGAATATGGCAGAGAAATTTCAAATTAAGGAAACTTTAGCAGATGTGCATACTCCTTTCCTGCTCACCTCCCCCATTCATTCCCCATTTTCTTACCTCTTCATTGTTTATTCAGTGTATGATTATTAGGTCAGTTTTTAAAAACTTGTGCTTATATTTGAAATATAGTATTTCACAGTCCCCCCATACAGTTTTCTCCCCCTTAACATGAACTTTTTTATGTGCTTTAAGCCCTAAAAATACGATGATTGCCATTACTACTACTTCATCTTTCATAGACACTCAAATACATTAGTCAAAATAAACCTGCTAAGAGACTGGACTTTATGGCTTAATTGGTTTTACTCCATATTTCGATAACAGCAGGAAACCATTACACCGAAGCTGTGTTTATATTCCATTGATGTCTCTTTCTTTAAGGAGAACTTTGATTGCTGTATATCCTATTTGCTAGTAGTTAATCTTATTTCTTTGTTATAATTGTTTCATTTTATCAGTTGAATACATTTTATGTCATTTAAATCTTTACAATTTGAAAAACTTTTGTTATTTAAATCTTATTTAAAATTTGAAAAACGTTTTTCAACATACATTTCACTTGTTTTTCCATATTTGACAAAAATTTTTATTATTTACATACTTTCATAGTTGTAATATTAGTCTTTTCCCCAGTTAACACATGGTTTTAGATGTATGTATTATTTATGGTTAATAAACCTGGAAAGAATGATTAGAGTTTCACTAAAATGACATAAAATTTTTATTATTCTTGGTTTTGACAGATTGTTCTGTTTTTTGGGGGTAGTACTGTTATTCTCTTAATGTTATAGAGTAGCTATTTGGTTACATAACTAACTTTGTTTCTGGAACAGTAATCTGGAAATCTAATGTGATTATACCTTCTCACTATTAATTCTATTTGTATGTACATCATTTGGTTTAATATAGTTTCTAGCTAACGTGTATTGATCATCATAGCAAAATCTACTTAATTCCTAAGATCTTAGAGTATCGTTTTGATTTAAGTATTAAAATGTTTGGAGCATTTCTTTTGTGTTAGGCCATTTGAAGACCTTAAAACATTCCTTTACGTAAAAGGTACTCTTTTTAAACATGCGTTTGTTGGTGTTTTTGTCTTTTTCAAAATGCAGATTCATACTTTAGTAGAAAGTTTGAAACTTTCTATCACAGATCAACAACTGCCTATGTTTATTCGTATAATGCAACTTGGAATTGCTCTTTACTACGGAGAAATAGGCAGTTTTAAAGAAGGCGAAATAGAGGACCCTACTTGTCATAATAAAGATATGCTAGGAAACATTACAGGTAACTAATGTAAAACTTTATTAAACAAAAACTTTAAGACTATTCTTACATTTTACCATTGAGAAACTTTAAAAAATGTATTAGATTGAGTTTTACTGTATTCTAATGAGATGGGCTGATTGTTTTTTGGTTGTTTTACACTATTTTAATTTTTTTGTTTTGTTTTGAGACGGAGACTAGTTCCGTTGCCTGGGCTGCAGTGCCGTGGTGCAATCATGGCTCACTGCAACCTCTGCCTCTCAGGTTCAGGCAGTTCTCTTGCCTCAGCCTCCCAAGTAGCTGGGATTACAGACATGCACCACCACGCCTGCCTCATTTTTGTATTTTTTTAGTAGATATGGGGTTTCACCATATTGGCCAGGCTAGTCTCAAACTCCTTACCTTGTGATCTGCCCGCCTTGGCCTCCTGAAGTGCTGTATACGAGCCACTGCACCCGGCCTACACTACTTTAGGTTTATCTACATGCTGGATAACATTCTGATTTTTTCCTATATGCTAAAAATAACTTATATATTTCTAATAAATATAAGTGTTCAGAATGTACTACTTATTTATTTATGAATGAGACAGGGTTTTGCTCTGGCACCCAGGCTGGAGTGCAGTGGCACGATCATGGGTCACTGCAACCTCGACCTCCCAGGCTCAGGTGATCCTTCTACCACAGCCTCCCTAGTAGTTAGGGCTGCAGGCACGCGCCACCATGCCTGACTAATTTTTGCATTTTTTGTAGAGACAGGTTTTGCTGTGTTGCCCGGGGTGGTCTCAAACTCCTAGGCGTAAGTGATCTGCCCACCTCAGCATCACAAAGTGCTGGGATTACAGGCATGAGCCACCATGCTTGACTCGGGATATACATTTGATAAAAGTTGAAGTAGTATAACCTCAAAATTTCCTACTACATAATAGTATTGGTAATTTTTCTGCAAAACTTCACTTAAGTAAAATTAAATTATTTTAGTGCTGTTAATTAATGAAATGTAAACTTCATTGAAGGATATGTAATGTGGGAAAATACAGAGATCATTTTGATGTATTTCTTTCCCTTAGAATTTTAAGATAAAATGGGACAGATAGATGTGTCAGTAGTTAGTTAAGTATGATGTATGGTAGAATGGCAGAAAGTTTGATAAATATCATGAATGATCTGATGTAGAAAGATGAAAGGAATGACTGATTTCAACTTGGTATAGGGCCTGAGACTCAGAAAGTTTTAAGATGATTAATTTCCATAGATAAGGCCCTAAGAGAAGGGCATTTAAAACTTAGGAGCAAATAAACCAATTAAAAATGGGCAAACAGACATTTCTCCAAAGAAGATAAACAAATAGCAAACAAGCAAATCAAAACCTCAATGACATACCACTTCACAGGTACTAGATGACTATAATAAAAAAAAATACAAAATAACAGGTATTGGTGAGGATGTGGAGAAATTGGAACTCATGTAAGTTGTTGTTGGGAGTGTAAAATGGTATATAGTTGCTTTGGAAAACAATATGGCAGTTCTTCAAAACGTGAAATATAGAGTTACCATATTGACCCAGCAATTCCATTCCTACGTATATATCAAGAGAAATGATAACATATGTCCATGTAAAAACTTATATATGAAATGTTCATGGTAACATGTTCCTAGTAGCCAAAAACTGGACACAGTTGAAATATCTATCAGCTGATGAATGGATTATCAAATTATGGTATATTCATACATTGGAGTATTATTTAGCTATACAAAAAAATGAAATACTGATATAGGCTTCAGCATGGATGAACCTTGAAAGCGTTATCTTAAGTGAAAGCAGCCAGTCAAAAGATAACACATGTGCTATGATTCCATTAGAAATGTTCAGAATAGGCAGTTCTGTAGAGGCAGGAAGTAGATTAGTAACCAGGATTTGAGGGGAGGAGAGAATGACTGCAAATAAGTAGGCTGCTTTTTGGAATGATGAAAATGTTCTAAAATTAGATAGTGGTGATGGGAGCAGAACTTGTGACTATTAAAAAAATCCCACTGAATTGTATACCTTTAAATGTTGAATTTTATGCTATTTAAACTTTATCTCATTAAAAAATCTTACTACCTTAAAGCATGGAGAACAACATGAATCAGAGTACATAGATATAAAACGTACCTTTATTTCACACTAGAGGGTAAATTTTTGTTAGACAATGCACTTCTGAGACAGAAACAGTGTCTTATACCTGGAGCAAACATAGCATGTAGAGGATACTTATTTTATTTTTTTCCAACATGACAAATTTCAAATATATGGAAAAGCTGTAAGAGTTATTATAAGGTGAACACTCACATACGTATCATCTAGAGTCTACTATTGATATTCTGTTACATTTGCTTCATCACATATCGGTTCATCTAACATCCCTTTCTCTATTTATCAATACAATGATTGTTTTTGATGCCTTTCAAGTTAAGTTACAAACATTGGTACACGTCACCCCTAACCCTCAGCTGTCTGTTGTTATATAGAGTTTCTACTAAGTGGGTGATTTTAGTTTTTTTTGGAAGTTAAATCTCCAAAGTAAAATTCAGTGAGTTTGAGAAATACATACACCTGTGTGATGCAAAACACTCATCAAGATATAGGTCATTTACAGCTGAGATAGTTTCTTATACCCCTTTCTAGTCATCCCCCTTTCACCTGCCTGCCTCCCCGCGAGAAAACACTATTCTGAAGTTCCTTAAAACTATAGATTTAGTTTTGCTGATTCTAGAATTTCATATAAATGGAAACAGTATGTATAAAGGTTTCTTTCATTAAGCATAGTGTGTTTGGTATTTATCTATGTTGTTGCATATAGCAGTCGTTCTTTCCTTTTCATTGCTAGATACATTGTATGAATATACCATGTTAATATACTATAGTTTATTTTACCATTCAGTTGTTGATGGACACTTGGGCTGTTTTTCGTTTTTGGCTATTATAAATAAAACTTTCATAGATATTTTTGTACAAATTTCACGTAGACATGTGCTATTCTTTCTTTTGGGTAAATACTTAAGAGTAGAATTATATGTTTATTTTTCAAAGAAACTTCCATAACTTTTTCCAATGTGGTTGTACCATTTTATATTCCTATCAACAATGTGTAAGAGTTGCAGTTGGCCTACATCCTTGCTAACATTCAATGGTGTATTTTTTCACTTTTTTGCCATTGGGATGAGTGTGTTGTGGTATCTTATGGTTTTTTAATTTGCATTTTTTGATGGCTAATTATTTTGAATTTTTAATGTGATTATAGGCCTTTATCTACCTTTGTGAAGTATGTGTTAAATATTTGTCCATTTAAAGCTTTTTTGTGTCTTTTTAAAATTTTATTTTACTTTATGTATTTATTATTTGTTTATTTACATAGTCTCACTCTTGCCCAGGCTGGAGTATGATGGCATGATCATAGCTCACTGCAGCCTTGAACTCCTGGGCTCAAGCAATCCTCCAGCCTCAACCTCCTGAGTGGCTGGGACTACAGGTGCATGACACTGAGTGTGGCTGATAAATGTTTTTTTTTTTTTAATTTTTGTCGAGGTTTGGGGGTCTCACTTTGTTGTAGCAGGCTGTTCTTGAACTCCTGGCTTCATGTGATTCTGCCGTCTCGGGCTCCCAAAGTGCTGGGATTATAGGAATGAGCCAGTGGGCCCAACAGGGTTTGCAACTTATATAAAACTTATTCTGAACTACAATGGCTAAAGTGTCTTGGTACTATTATTTTAGTTACTCTAGTTAATTCTTATTAAGCCTTTTCCTTCTCAGGTGAAAGAAGGCAAACATTCATAACCTGTAAATGTAGAATGTTCCAAGAGTCTCCTGTCATAAGAGTTTAAAAAGTTTTAAAGCTTTTTCAATAAGAAAACCTGTAAGGATGTTATTTAAAGATTTAAAAGAGTATGTGTATTTATAGATTTATCAATGGAGAGTAGATATGAGTGAATCTGCTGGAGACTACTTTTCCTATGGTGTATTTTTTTTTTTTTTTTAGACAGGGTCTAGGGTCTTGCTCTGTCACCCAGGCTGCAGTGCAGTGGTATGATCATGGCTCACTGCAATGCTTGCCTCCTGGCTTCAAGTGATTCTCGTGCCACCTCAGCCCCCCAAGTTGCTGTGACCATAATGGGTGCACACTACTACACCCAGACAATTTTTTTTGTTTTTTTAGTAGGGATAGGGTTTCACCGTGTTGCCCAGGCTGGTCTTGAACTCCTGAGCTCAGGTGATCTGCCCACTTTGGCCTCCCAAAGTGCTGGGATTACAGGTGTATGTCACTGATCCTGGCCCCTATGAATTTTACACCTGGACAGTTTTTTGTACTTTTAGTAGGGACAGGGTTTCGTCATGTTGCTGAGGCTGGTCTCGAACTCCTGAGCTCAGGTGATCTGCCCATCTCGGCCTCCCAAAGTTCTGGGATTACAGGTGCTAGTCACTGTTCCTGGTCCCTGTGAAATTTTTAAAAAGTAATTTTTTTTTTTCTAAATTTCATGATGCCTCTTTTGTTTATATAGCTAGAATAATATTAAGGGACTTTGATGGAGTTTGTCTTTACAAAGGTGGCATAAATTAAAGAGTGGTTGGAATCTAAATCTTTGGTCTGCCAATTTGTAACCAAATAAAATTTCTTCCCTATAATTTTTTCATCTGTACAACAGGAAAGGTATATAATATCTTACTTGCTAGTAAGAAAGAGGCCCCAACATTATTATTTTTCTTAGCTACATATAAAAGTCATTTTATTGTAATGTTTGCTTTCATCTTTGGGATAATTCTTGTTTGGGCAGGGGTACATTTTGCCTAGAAGCACTTTCCATTTTTTTTTCCTCCATGGGTGCATCAGGAAATGAAGAATATTTCTTGGATCTTTGTGGTATTACGTTTCTGAGGAAAGTCAGTTTTTCAATATATCAGCCTTATTTTTGAGAGGTAGGTTTTTTGTTGTTGGTTTAAAACATCATGAGCGACGTTAAATAATTAATTTATTCTTTGTCTTTATCAAATACAGTTAAAAGTTATGTGCAGTTGATAAGCTACTTTCCATATCACATTAACCATAACCTACTAAAGGAGATTGATACAGTACAACATACAGAAACTTGAGAGTCATAATGCTAAATTATTGGTTTCAAATAATAATCATCAATGTATCATTTGTTTATATCTTATAATAGAAGGATATGGGAAAAAATTGTGAAGGATGTGTATTTCTATTTTCTTAGTTAAATTCTTTTGACTTATTTAAAGTGACTTAATTTTAATTGATAGGTTCTGAAGATGAAACAAGAATAGATATGCAATATCCTACTCAGTATAAAGGTCAAGAGTTATATTCACAGCAAGATGAGGAGCAGCCACAGGGATGGGTATCATGGGCCTGGTCCTTTGTGCCTGCAATTGTGAGTTATGACGATGGCGAGGAAGACTTTGTTGGGAATGATCCTGCATCAACCACGCATCAGCAAAAAGCACAGGCTTTGAAGGATCCTATTGTTTCTATAGGATTTTATTGCACAAAGGCAACGGTAACTTTCAAAGTAGGTCTTTTCTCTTGCTGTTTATATCTGTAGCAACTTTAATACTTAAATTTGGATTGTTAGTACAATTCTAGCTTCATTCAAGTTTGTTTTGCATTCAGTAGATGTGAGATAGAGTCTAACAGTTCTTACTTCATAAAATTACATGGCTCCTCCTCTTGAAATCTTTGAATTTTGATCCCTTCCTGTCTTCTTAGGGCCTTCTCCACATTTCTTTTTTATTAGCTTCATGGATAGTTTTTTCCCTATTGAATCATTCACTTGGTGTACAAACATGCCTTAATATTGTCTTTAAAAAAGAAAGGAACAGCAAAAATTTTCCCTTGAATTCTTTTACCCATCAGGTACGGTTTCATTTCTGTGCTTGCCTTCGTAACAATCATAACAATCTCTGTCTCTCTCTCTTTTTTTTTTTTTTTTTTTTGAGACAGGGTCTGGCCTAGGCTGGCGTGCAGTGGTGCAATCACAGCTCATTGCAACCTCTGCCTCTCGGGCTCAAGACATCCTCTCACCTCAGCCTCCCGAGCAGCTGGGACTACAGGCATGTGCCACTGTGCCCAGCTAATTTTTTTTTTCTTTTTAAAAATATTTTGTAGAGATGGGGTTTTGCCATGTTGCCCAGGCTGGTCTCACTCCTAGGCTCAAGCGTTTTTCCCCCTTTGGCCTCCCAATGTGCTAGGATTACAGGTGTTAGCCATCATGCCCAGCCTCATAACAAATTTTTGTTTTTAAAGGATTATTTATATATAATTATCTCTTTCCTCATTTGTTTCGCTTTTAAGGACAAATTTGTTAACTAGGTCCTCTTCTAGCTATTTTTCCAGCAGTATTTAACATAATTTGACGACTTCTTCCATTAAAATAATGCATGTAAAATATCTATTCTCATCTATACAAAAATATATATAATATATACAAATATGTGTATGTCCAGGTCAAAGAATAATAAAGTAAATACCCTTTTACTTGAAGAAATACAAAATTATGCCATGCACGGTGGCTCGCACCTGTAATCCCAGTCCCCCTGCATCTCAGCCAAAAGAAATATAAAATTGCTAGTAGCTTTGATCCCCCATGTATTCTTCTTTGATCATATTTTACCTTCTGTTCCTCTCACATATAACCCAAACCTAATTTTTGAGTTATTTGTTTCGTGGACTTTTATAATACTATTACCATGCCTGTAATAGTCCCGAGTAATATCTTAATTCATTCAACAAATATTCTCGGTGCCAGCTGTGTCTAGGCATTGTTTTGTCTCCAGAGATACCAGAGTGAACAGATATAAATTCCTGCTTCTTCAAACTTAAGTTGATATTATAAACAAATAACATATATATTGTGTTCATTGAATATAAAGGTTATGTAGAAAAATCAAGTGGGGGCCTGGTGCGGTGGCTCACGCCTGTAATCCCAGCACTTTGGGAGGCCGAGGTGGCCAGATCACCTGAGATCTGGAATTCGAGATCAGTCGGACCAACATGGAGAAACCCTATCTCTACTAAAAAAAAAAATTAGCCGGTTAGCTGAGTGTGATGGTGCATGCTATCATGCTGTAATCCCAGCTACTCGGGAGGCTGAGGCAGGAGAATTGCTTGAACCCGGGAGGTGGAGGTTGTGGTGAGCCGAGATCGTGCCATTGCACTCCAGCCTGGGCAACAAGAGTGAAACTCTGTCTCAAAAAAAAAAAAAAAATCAAGTGGGAAGAGGAATAGTGAGTGCTTTCACTAGAGGGGAAATTATGCAGTTTAAAATGGGATCATCAGGGAAGGCCTTATTATGAAGGGAATATTAAAGCAAAGACTTGCGAAAGAGGAAGCCTTATTAATATCTGAGAATGAACCTTCCAGTAATAACAAATGTAAAGGCACCATAGTTCAAGGAACCGCAAGGAAGCCAACAGTGTCATGAGATATTGTAAATGAATGTGGTATGAAAGATAAGAGGGGTGATGAGGTTTGGAGTGGTTCCTAAGTTGTAAACTGTGTAGATCATTTTTGGGACTTTGTCTTTTATTCCAAGTGAGATAAACAGTATTTGACCAGTTTTTAGAAGAATTATATGATGATCTGGGTTATATTTTAATCTGGATCACTGTGGCTGCTGTGTTGGAAGCAAAAGTAAGGAAAAGAAATAGATAGGAATGCAATTTTCAAGCAGGAGATGGTAATGACTTGGACTAGGGTGATAGCAAGTGGAGGTGATGAAAAGTGATTGTGTTTTGGATGTGTTTTGAAGGTCAAATAGGCAGAATTTCCTGACAGATTTTATTATGAGACATGAATGAAAAAAAAAAAAGATGATCCAAGGATGGCTTTTGAACAACTAGAAGAGTTAAGCTCTGACATTTTGAGATGACTGGGATTAGGAGAAGACTATATTTGAGATGAAGATGAGGAATTTAGTTTTGGGTATGTTTAAGATGCCTGCTGTATATTTAAGTAGAGTAATTCAGTGGACAGTTGGATATATGAATCTAGAATTCAGGTTAGAAATTTGCCTAGATGCATATATTTGATAGTCATAATTTTATTAAAACTGAAATTAGTGTAGAACAGAAAAAAGAGGTTCTAGAGCCAAGCTCCGGGGCACTGTGATGGTAAGAAATTGGAAAGATGAGGAAGAAATAGCAAAGGAAGCTGAGAATAAGTGATCAATATTGTAGGCAGAAAACCAAGAGACTGGAAGGTAAGTGCCATAAATGTTTTAAAGAGGAGGGAATAGATTATTTGTAAGAATGGATCCTTGGATTTGACAGTGTGGAAATTACTGGTGATTTTGAGCTGAGCAGTGATATGACACTGTTGGAATCTTAGTTGGAGTTGGTTAAAAGTGAATGGGAAGACTGGTAGAAATGTAAAATAGTGCATCTGCTGTGGAATATAGTTTGGTGGTTCCACAAAAAATTAAATGTAGAATTACCATATAATCTAGCCATTTTATTTCTAGGTATGTACTCAAAAGAATAAAAAACTAGTATTCAAACAGATTGATGTACATAAATGTTCATGGTAACTCTATTCAGTGATCTCCCAAAATGGAAACAATCCAAATGTTCATCAGTGGATGAATGAATAAACAAATTATGGTATATACATACAGTGAAATAATATTCAGCCATAAAAAAATGAAATTTTGACCAGGTGTGGTGGCTCATGCCTGTAATCCCAGCACTTCGGGAGGCTGAGGTGGGTGGATCATGAGGTCAGGAGTTCAAGACCAGCCTGGCCAACATGGTGAAACCCCGTCTCTACTAAAAATACAAAAAGCTGGGCATGGTGGTAGGTACCTGTAGTCCCAGCTATTCAGGAGGCTGAGGCAGGAGAATCGCTTGAACCTGGGAGGCAGAGTTGCAGTGGGCCAAGATCACGCCATTGCACTCCAGCCTGGGCAACAATAGTGAAACTCCATCATAAAAAAGAAAAAAGGAATGAAGTTCTGATGCATGCTAAACATGAATGAACCTTGAAAGTTCTATGCTAAGTGAAATTAGCCAGACACAAAAGGACAAAGATTGTGTGATTCCACTTAGATGATGTTCTCTAGAGAGACAGAATAGGCTATATGTATGTATGAAAGGGAGTTCATTAAGGAGATTGACTCACACGATCACAAGGTAAAGTCCCATGATAGGCATGTCTACAAGTTGAGAAGCAAGGAAACCAGTGGTGGATCAGTCCAAGTCCCGAAACCTCAAAAGTAGGGAAGCTGACAGTGCAGCTTTCAGTGTGGGCCAAAGGCCTGAGAGCCCCTGGCAAACCACAGGTGTAAGTCCCAAAGTCTAAAAGCTGAAGAACTTGGAGTCTGATGTTCAAGGGCAGGAAGCATCCAGCACAGAAGAAAGATGAAGGCCAGAAGACTCAGCAAGTCTAGTCCTTCCACATTCATCTGCCTGCTTTATCCTAGCCATGCTTCCAGCTGGTTAGATGGTGCCCACCCAGATTGAGGGTGGGTCTGCATCTCCCAGTCCACTGACTCAAATGTTAATCTCCTTTGGCAGGACACACCCAAGAACAATACTTTGCAGCCTTCAATCCAATCAAGTTGACAATCAGTATTAACCATCACAGATGAGGTATTTAGAATAGGCAAAATCACAGAAACAGAGAGTAGAATAGACATTGCTAGAGGCTGTAGGATACAGGGAAGTTGAGTTAGTGCTTAATAGGTAGAGTTTCTGCCTAGTATGATGTAAAAGCTCTGCAAACATATGGTGGGGATAGTTATGCAATATTTTGTACTAAATGCCACTGAATTGTATACTGACAGGTGGTTAAATCTATAAATTTTATTGTGTATATTTTATCATGCAAAAAGGACAGATAAAAATGCAAATGGTAGTAGAGTAATTGCTGAAGAGTACAGAAAACTCTTTCAAGATGGTTTTGTTATAAAGAGCATAGAAATAGGGAAATAGCTGGTTGGGGTTGTGGAGCTAAAGACTTTTTTTTGAAAGATGGGAGTAATTATAGCATATTTGTTTGGTGATATGAGTGATCTAATAGAGAGGAAAAAATTGATATAGGCAAGAGGGGGAGAATTGCTGGCGTAATATTCTTGAGAAGAGAAGAGGGCTTGGCACCTTTTGTAGAGGTGGAAAGTCTGATGACCTCTAATGGGACAATAGGTCATTCATTCATGATAGCAGGAGAGAAAGCAATGTGTTCTTGCACCCACATAAGTGGTTTGGTAGAAAAGGTGGTAGTGGTTTTTGAAAGTTCTCTTCTGATTATTTTTTTCTTTAAATAGTTCTCTTAACTCAGAGTAAACATGGGAAAGGAGGAGAAGCTTTGAGGAAGGGGAAGAAGGTGTAAAATTGTCATCTTGGGGAGGATGAGGAGTAATTGCCTTTGAATATGTATGTTCACTAGGGACACTAAGGACCTACTACACAAAAGTGATCATGAATTTGAAGATATACCAGTCATTGTGGTTGTATATATTTTCTGGTCATATTCTGTTGCTTTAGTTAGGGTGATGGTGAAAATAATCTGGAGGAC